CCGTTTTCCAGCTCTGAGACTATCATGCACGGATAGAGTCACACAAGACAATGCCTTTGTATGAAGTTTGTACATGTCAAAAATTGGCCTGATCAGCTGATGTTGTTGACGTTAATCATTTCAAGTACAAGGTGAATGTCCGCCACCTCCCCATCGATCAAATTTTATTCGCATTCAAGCTGCTGAAAGTGGAATTGCTTCATGAATAACGTGGTGGATGGATACCGAAGAAAGAAGAAAAGTCTCAAGTAAACTTGGGCACCCTCTGTTACTTAAACTTATCTAAGGCGCTTCCATAGTACCTGATAATAGTTATCAAAGTAGCCATTCCTAGAATAGTAGAATGTGATGTGAGTACTATGCATGTTCTACTTATTCCAGTTTAAATGTAATATCATGCCACAATATGGAGATCCGGAACTTAAAAAAACAGAGACACATAATTCCGGCAAATATGTGGTCGTTCGGTGACATGCTTCCCGTTCGTGGATAGGGAAGAAATTGGTTAATTTGCTTCAGCACTTTGAAGCATCGGTAGCTCCCGTATTGCCCTTTGGTGTTTCAGCATGAAAAATGTGGAGCGAAAATCAGTACATTCACATCAAACCTCTGCTTCTGATTGCGTAAAAGTTGATATTAGAAAATCATCAGTATCAAAAAGCACCCAAATAGATGCTTCTGATATTCAGCTTTTAAAAATCTAAAATCAGGTTATAAAAAGCTGTTGAGAACACAACAAAATAGCTTTTTAAAAAATCAAAATCTGGAATCAGGTCTCGAAAATCAATTAAGATCAAGGCCTTAAAGGATAATAATAGTTTACTCAAGGTCCGTGTACGCACATGACACACCGCACCACACCACTTGTGATAATCTTGCAAATTTTATTCTTTAAACTCATGGTTAGAGCTGCAAACGAGTCGAGTCGAGTCGAGTCAAGTTTTGGTCTTATCGAGTCGAGTCTTGACTTAATTTCATCGAACTCGAACTCGACGAGCTAGTAATTTTCAAGCTCGAGTTCGAGCTCGAAAAAAATAAAAAATAATTATTTTATTTTTAAAAAATAAATAAAATAATATTTTTTCTTAATAGATTATAAAATATTAAGGATATTTATGTAATTTTACTATTAAAAATAAAAATTAAAAAAAATATATATATATACTCGAACTCGCGAGCTAACAAGTTTAATGTTTTGAACTCGAACTCGAGCTCGAGTCGAGTTTGAATTGAGCCGTTCGCGAGCAACTCGATTCGTTTGCACCCCTACTCATGGTGACCTATTGTGCCCCAGCGAGCTATTGATCGACTTCCAAGCCTCAACGTTGTTGACCCTTGAGTTCTTTCTTGGTTGTTGTTAATTGGCCTTCGTGTGTTTTTTTTTTATTATTTATTTTATAAGCAGGCGGGCAGCTATCTAACCTATAGTAAATTCATAACCAATAAAAAAAAAAAAAAAAGAGGAAAACCGACATTCTTGCTTGTATGAGTATGACTTCATCAAATTTCAATTATGACGTCACCCAGGCGAAAAGATGCCACTATAAAATCTGGTTTGAGATTGACTGGATGTACAACCTCAAGATGTAAAGTTGATAGAACTTTCAGTGATCAAATATTTTAAGCCAAAAAAAAAAAAGAAGAGAAAAGAAGAAGAAACCTCATAAACTTGAACGAGGATGTAAGATTGTCGGGTTCAAACAAATACCATTCTGATCATGGTGTACCAATAATGTCGTAGTTTGCCTGGTTAAATACATAATTCGGCAAGGCAGATCGATTTGGCTGAAGACTCTAGTTTTTAACCGGCGTTATGTGGCTTGAAGCTTCAAAGCGAAGTAGTTGGAGGAGGAGATGGATAGAAAGGGCTTCCAATTCAAGTTTCACTTTCACCGTCAAAAGGATGAGGATTAGAGTTTAATAAGATTGGCTAATTGGGTCTGCTGTCTCTTTCGCATTGCAAATTTGCTATATGCCAACATTTTCATGGAGACTTTGAGCCAACCTGCCTGCCTGCCTGCCCGTCCGGTCCTAACCTCAACTCCTCGTGATTTTAACATTCCTTTAATTGAGTTGTGGCATATGGTCCTACGGCGGTATGGCTAGACACTGCTTCATCTTTATTGGAGTGGGGCGTCTGTTATCTTCCTAATTTTGGTTCCTGCGCTGCTGTATTAATTGTGCTAGCATTTCAGGTCAGAACGATGGGTTTCAAGTTCCTAATTTCATACTACTCCTCCGTCCCACTTTGATAGTCCTGTTTTCCTTTTTCGTCTGTCCCTTTCCAATTGAAGAATGTAATTATATTTTAATTTTCCTAAAATACCCTTATTCAATGTAAGTTATTGTTACTATAAACCTATTCCATTTAATGAGAGTTGATTCTTTTTTTACCATCAATTCAAGTTCCCACAAAGTTGTACTCTAATTAATGTGAAGGTATTTTAGGAAAATAACTACCTAAATTGATTGTTCCAACAAAGTTAACTACTTTTTATTAAACTGTGTGAAAAAAGAACCAGGACTATCAAAGTGGAACGGAGGGAGTATATAACTTGCTAAAACTCTTCACACGCTTTTCTTCAAGATTCATAAAAACCGGTAACAGAGCCACCCGTCCTTGTAAATTTTTGCGCATTTCTTTTGAGAATCATTATTGCAACCGGGAGCATTTGAGATGGATTTTTTACCGCGGTTAGTAACAAACAGAATGGCAAAGGCCAGATTGAGGTGCTTCTCATCTTCTGGGCTGTGATTCGTGATCTGCAAAGAAAGGAATAGATGTGGATTATGCACGGATGTGGATGTAAACAAAAAAAAAAAAAAAAAAATTCCTTGCTTACGGATGTGGATGATCTAGGAGATAAATGGCGTTCAACCTCATGATGCAGAAGCAAGTAGAAAACATAGAGGTGGGCCTTTGTAATCTAAGTTGAATTTAAAATTTGTGATTTCTTTTTTTTCTCTCGTAGCCATGCTGTCATTATCTGTAGCAGCAGTATTTCCCAACTACAAAGTCTAGAATAAAAGTAAACTAATCCCCATAAAACAAAACAAGAGCCGATTCAATTGTCGAGAAAATCTACACTCTATTCTATATATATATATATATATTTTTTTTTTTAGAAAAAAAAAAAATTGAGGGAGGTGTATGTATGAGATGATGTAACCCCTCTCCAGTTTATGCTGATTACTCGATATTCAGGATTTATTAAGAGGAGCTGTGCCTACAATAATACCAAGGTTAGCGTGAAGGAGCCGGTAATTAAACTAATCACGCGGCGGCCCAGTGCATTGTTTTTACGAATTTAAGAAGCGGGGACGGAAATTCTTCCATGGACGGAGGAGTTACGTGTAGTTTCTCTCGTTATTGGCTTTGGAAAGGAGACCCGCGACCGTCATTGAAAGCTACCATTGTCCTTTTTGTTATGTGGGGACTCCTTTTTGTTACGTAGGGACTAGGGAGCGTTCCTGTGTTTCATTTTCGGACTTGGGAGAGAGAGAGAGAGAGATGCATAAAGGTTGGAGTACCAAATAGTAATAATTTTTTACTCAAAAAAAAGTTTTCATTGAACTTGCACGAGAAGGGAAACATAATAAAAACTAGAAATAGTAAAAGAATAAAGAAGCTATAATGTTAGGTGCATTTGGACTGCGATTTTTTGCGGATAATTTATTTAAAAAATCCAGAGTAAATTATTTTATTACCCTCCAGTGGGGTTTTACGTAATGTTAGAGGATCTTCTTAAGGTTTTAAAATAGACACGTAACCCTCCCGTGATTTTATGTAAAGTAAAAAATTTGATGGAATGCACAATTAGTTACGATGTTCATACCAAATACACTTTAAAAAGCGCGTGTGATAAAATTTTAATATTCATGTAATTGTCTTATAATTTGTATATAAATATCCATTTTATCCCTTGTTATTTTTGCATTTATCAATGTAATCTCTTATATTTTTTTTTATACAAAATAGTTAAACCGTCGATTGATTTAGCATTTAAGTAATGGCACCACTAGTATTTCAGTTAACGACGTTACATAGTCTATTTTCCGTCAAATGTCCCCTTTACATAAAATCATAGGGTGTAGTGTCAACATTTTGAAATGTTAGAGGAGTCATGTGATAATAGATAAAATTACAAGAAATTATATGCAATTTACCCAGAAAATCTTTCATTGAACTTGCAGGAGAAGGCAAACATAATAAAAGCTCATATTTCAGACTTGAAAATTGATTCAACAAAAAGCCTTGATTGATGATTATTGAAGAGAGCTAATTAAGGGGAGGGAAGCAAAAAGGGGCGTTGACAACAAGCTTCAATTTAAAGCTACACCATTCAAAACATACACATTTTTAGTAATTTTAGGCCTTTAGTCAGTATCAGTTCCTATCAGTCATCTTTAAGCTAAAAGGGACGGAACATGCAGCCCCTATCATACCAATTATTGCTAGAAAAACACCTCTTCCTTTACCTTATACTTACTATGGAGGGATACCTCCTTTTTTTTGTTTTCTTTCAAGAAATGATAAGCAATATTATTAATAAGATTAATCTTTTCTGTGCAGACAATGTAATAGGATTAATCTTTCTTACGCTGACGGTGCTGTCAGCGTTGAATGGATGATTAATATATAAAATTTAAATTTAAAATTTAATTTTTATACATATATCATAAATTAAATTATAATAATATATTCACTATCAGTATATATAAGATTTACTCTTATTAATATTGGGTAAACTTTACTAGGGAGGGATGTAAACCAAATAAGTTTTTTTTAAGATTTTTGAAACTGAATTCAAGTCATACTACCGTGCCCGTCATAAATCCTCACCGTTGCGGGGGGATGTAGATTCACTAAACGAGGTGCTAAAAAAAAAGGGGCATTCTATAAATTTATAAATATTAACATTTTGAGTACTTATCCTCGGGACTTTCTTCCAACATACCGGGCTTTTTTTCCCCTCCATTAAAGAAAATTTTAGAGTTGCATGGAGATAAATCATGTTGTACATATTAGAATGATCGATCACATAAAAAACGTTTTTCAAGTCCATTTGAGTCGCCTTGCTCGTGGTTAAACCCCAATTCCCGAGTCCACTTTTTTCTCCGTAATTAAAGATACAATTGAGGGTAAAATTGGACTCATAAACCTAAGTACTGTGTTCTATGATTTATGACGACCCGTATGTATGTATATATACTGCCTCACTTGAAAAAAAAAAAATCATCCCGCTTGCACCCAAAGCCTCAAGCTTGCATTTTCGGTCACCGGACAACTGGGGAAGCCGGGCCTGCCTGCTGCTAAACTATTAGACTCCCACACCTGAAACCACCACCCACCAGATGAACCCCACCTCAAAACCCCTACTGCCGTCCTCCGACTCCTCCACCGCCAAGACTGATGATCAAGGCGGTGCTACCCCCAACTTTTCCATGTTGCACCCCGACATCATTGAATCTCACATCCTCACCCGCCTTGACGGGCCCAGTCTCGCCACAACCAGCTGTTCCTCCGCAACTCTCCACCGCCTCTCCGCCCAAGAACACCTGTGGTCTCAAATATGCCGCTCGACGTGGCCCTCAACCGCCTTGCCACGTGTCTCCCGACTCATTTCCGCATTCCCCGACGGCGGCCCTCGCGCCTTCTTCGCAAACTCCTTCCCTCTCCCTCTACCGGACCCCACTCCCGCCGCTTCACGCTCACCGCAGCCGTCGGAATTGATCTCGGCGGTCGATATATACTACAGGAGCGAGTTAATCCTCGCAAAGGTTGAGGAGACGGAGACCGTGACCGGGTGGTTCCGGTGCTCTCCTTTTAGAATTGACCTGCTGGAACCCAAGGACGTGGTCCCCGCACCAATAAAACACCCGGAGGGAGACAACGACAGCGGGACGTCCCTGATGGAAGACATGACGCTGAGCTGGATTTTGATAGACCCAGCCGGGAGGCGAGCGGTGAACTTGTCATCCCACAAGCCCGTTGCGGTGCAGCGGCACTGGTTGAGCGGGGAGGTGCAGTTGCGGTTTGCGTCAATCCTGGTGGGTGATCATAAGGGGCCGGCGAGGGGTCACGTGCAGTGCGGGGTGGTGGTGACGTGCGGGAAGTTGGAGGGAGGGGGGATGCGGGTGAGGGAGGTGAGCATGGAGATGGAGGACATGGACGGGATGCACTTGAATGGGAAGGACAGCCTGGTCATTTTGCACAGGGCTCTGGAGGGCAAAAGGGGAAAAGCGAGAAATAGAGGAGAGGAAGGGAGGAGGAGGTACGAGGAGTACGTGGGAATGAAGAGTGAAAGAAAAGAGCGAAAGATGAGGTCAGAAGGGGCATTGGATGTAATGTGCGTGGCTTCTGGGGTAATTGCATTCGTGGCCTTTTGGTGCTGCGTTTGGTGGAGATGATACTACTCTCTACTAACAAACAACTGATCATCCATCTCAAATATAGGATAATACTAGCGTTAGTGTGTGTGTGTCAGTGTGTGTGTGTGTGTGTGTGTGTGTGTGTGTGTGTAGAGAGAGAGAGAGAGAGGGAGAGGGAGAAATTTAGATTGGTAATTGAGAAAAAGAAAGGATAAATAGTAGTACTAGTAGAGTCCTAAAAGGAAGGAAGGAAGGAAGGAAGGAAGGAAGGAAGGAAAGAAGGAAGAATTCCAAATTGCAAATACGTTGTTAGCTTTTTGTTTGTAATTGTACAGAGGAGGTGGCGGGCAATAGGGATGAGGAGATCAAATACTGTACTGTGTTTGTGTAAGGCGGAACGTTGGATCAAAAGCGAAAATTGGAAGGAATGAATCCAAAGCTGAAGAGGAGCTTCAGGGTAGGAAAGGATGTTTACCTAAAGATCTTGCAAGATGGTAACACTACTTACTATATGTTCAATGAAAAGTTGAGCGGGTAAAAGAGAGAGGCGCTGTGATGATTCTTTACCATCCCTTTCTTTTTCTCTTGGCTACAAAATCAAAAGAGGAGAGACGAAGTCTGTAATTAAAAGAAACAGCAGTAAACCCACCCGTCTGTGTCTGTCTGTGTATAGGAGGAAGGGAAGGAGCATGAATGCTGGCTGCATCATCTTCTTCACCAGTGACTCACCGCACACAAATATGATTATGATTATGATTATGAATATGAATGCGCCTCTCCTCCGACCAACTTTTCTCTGCAATCATGCATATACTTAGTACCACGAAATAAATCTCGGCCGCCTCGGTCGGGACAGTTGCAACTTCCCCATCTACGAAATAAATCTCTGGTTTCTACTGTTCAATGCAATCTCCACGACTTAAATCGACATGGATCCTCGTGTCTCATGTCCAACAAACAAATCAAAAAGAAGAGCGACTTGATAGCAACATACTAGTAATTATTATTTCCAACAAAAACATTAATTAATTCAAAAAAGAAAACAACAAACCCTGCAAGTAACATCTCGTACGACGATCTTGAAAACATTAATTGACTTCAATTTGCCTCTAATAGTAGTGTCATTGGCCTGTGGCTGGTTCAGGGGGCCCTCGAGCTATTGGCGTTCCCCCACCGAATCCGGTTCTAGGTTTTGCATAAGCCACAAAGATTACACGCCCATTCAGTGCCTGCACCAACCAACTCCAAATACTTAGCTCTTTTGTACCCAGAATTTTCCTTTCCTTTCCGTTTTTGAAATGAAAAAAAAAAAAAAACCATGGAGTTGGAAGTGATCGGATGGGAAGAGCAAGAACCAGAGTACGAGGCCATAAAAGAAGTACCTTACCTTTCCGTTCAGTTCTTTGATGGCATTCTCTGCTTCGTCTTCTGAAGCGTAAGTAATAAATCCAAAACCCTTCGATCTTCCGGAGACTTTATCCATGGGAATTTTAGCTATCAAAATCACACTGTCGTTAAACTCAAAGTTGATGAAGTTTTTAATCGCACGAGCAAATACTCTCTAACAACTACTAAGTACTATCAAACTAGCTCAGCACACCTCCTACAACTTGGCCATACTGAGAAAACGCCTCTGACAATCCCTTTTCTGTTGTGTAATATGAAAGTCCTGCAACACAGCACTAGCATAAATTTTCTTAACGCTATGACTAGAAAATCATCCAAATAAGGGCCAGCATTCGAAAAGTTCCAGGCAACTTAGAAGTCATATTTTCTGGATCGGAAGATCATTAAAAAAAAAAAAAAAAAAAAACAGCAATGTCCAATAATGAGAATGCTGCAAATAATGAGCTGATCATTACAGATATGTTTTGGCCTCTGACATCACAATTTCCAATTCCATCAACGGCAAAATGTTCAGCTCTAATTTTCAGCTAAACATCCTGTGCTTCCAGGAAGGACCGAACTAATTGAGGTTGCGACCTAACCTAACCCAGCAGAAATGGGAAAGTGAAGATATCAAATTCCTTCTATACCGAAAATTTCAATCTTTTCCATTTGGATGCATCCACAGTTCATAACAACTACCTCTCCGTCGCTTTCTAGGGAAATGAGTTTGGCAAGAACTTGTTCAACTCACTCATTGCCAATAAGAAAGAAAACGATAACAAAGCTGTGTACTCTGTACAGTACAGCAAACTAGTTACGAAACAATAACAAGTAAACAGAAAATAGTAGTATGCTTATCATGGAAATGGAAATGGAAGCAAAGCTCAATGACGGATCAATACACAAACCGTGAAGGGGGACACAAGAATCAGAAAATTTATTTCAGTTGAGATTGAAAAATAAGATATCCATCCTTCATCTAATTACCAATTTCATGTTCCCTAGGGCACAGAGTGAGATAGTGATGACAGCAGATGGGCCGGAAAAAAAAAGAGAGGCTAACGCCAACGATTCGGCGTCAGTTATTCTCAATTCAATTTCAGAAGCCATTGAATTTCAAAAGGACGCATTCGTTATTAACCCTCCATGTACCCTGACCACAATTGTTTTTTATTTTTCATACGTTGACAGCAGAACCCAATACGCAATTTCTCAGTATTATAATTCTGAGTGATGTTATTTAAGAGCATGGTGGGGAACCGACCTCCAATGAAGAGCTTGGAAGCTATGCCTCTGCGCGAGATGAAAAGGGCAGGAGAAGGAGAGGGCCATGATGATGATAGAAAAGTGGAATTTCGACAGTTGGGTTGTAAGAGATGACCGACTAAGTTGTTTGAGAGTTTTCTGAGGGCCGCCATTTCTGTTGATCAAGCCGTCGCTGCAACACCTCCAGCAGAGCTCAAGGGGATTACCGTTCCGTGCTGCCTTCAGGTTGATCTTTGTTGGAATGATATGATCCAATCGAAAAATAGTGACAAAGTGAGTGGGCTGTCTACGAGTTGTGACCAATTTCCCATCCGTTAATACTGGACTACACTTAATGGGGGTGTCAAGCAGCCCCCTGGGTATGGAGTGCTAGGGCTGTATACGAGTTGTAACCAATTTCGGACCATTATTGGGACGGATTTGTTTACGAGAACAGTTTTAACTTCGAAAATCGGTTATTGTATTTAGCACATTCTTCAGTGAAAATTTTCAACCCCCACCCCAATCTATTCGGCTTTTGGTAATTGAACTGAAAGAAGGATGAGGAAAACATTAGGCAGCATCCTGTTCGAATCAATGCTTTGCCATGCCTCTAAAAGAAAAGAATAGTAAACGAACTAATGAGTGGGTGGGATAATTTCTGGTATCCTGATTCCATAATGGTGAAATAGGAAAATTGACCAGATTTCCATTTGGGCTTTTTTTTTTTGTCAATAATTAAGCCTATCCCATGGGCAAAGAACAATTGGCTTATCAATTTATAATTTAACAAATCCGACCTCAGCAACCAATGCCTGTAGAGTAGGACCTTCACCTAAGGTGCAACTGGAGTAATTTACCTCAATAAACGCAAGTTTGAAGCCTCTGCGGCTCTGCCACAATCTCGCACAAATGTGTGGGAGCGCTGTTGACTTCCAGACTATACGACTTAGGCGCATTCTCATCCGCAAGGATCAACAAATCTGTACCGCTTCCCTTGCCCCCCCCCAAAACCCAAATGGAAAAACTAAACAAAAATATCAAATGGATATGCAGTTCCCCTTTTCTTACAACAGCTTCGAGCTACTATACGCAATCAAATCCGCGCCTTAATTTTTACCTGTTCTATAGTTTGTCAATCTCCCCATTAATCATAAAAGAAAAGATGAAGCAAATGAAAGTTAATAAACTTCAAATCAGCTCAATTAATAAGTTGAAACGATGAATGGTGACAACTGGATTTTCTCTGATACCCATCCTCTTTGCCATTGTTGCCGCCACCTTTTGCGAACTAAATTGGACAAATATATCTCTGGAAGCAATCAAGCCACAGCAAGAGGAATCTATACATCTACTTGTATACTCGCTAGGACCCCTAAATCAAATTGTTCATATCATTATCAACAATTGCTAACACATACCTGAAACCACTGAGACAGCAAGAAAGGATAAACCACAAACTTCCACAAGAATATCCCCTTTTGATTGAGCAGGCATATACAAACTAACCACACACAACTATATTTTACAAAGTTATGGTTACAACGATATCATGACTGATGCGCTTTCAGCAATGCTTGGTAAAACATGTCAATAAATTGGTTATCCTGCCACAAAAAACAAAAAAATTTAAAAATTTAAAAAAAAAGAAACAATAAATAAATACAATATGATAAAATAATATATCTAACTACACAACTACTGTCCTGATATGATTTTATTTAAATTTTTGCTTAAGATTATCGAACACTTCAAAACTTGAGCATATGCTGGTGTATCCATTCTTATCGGGATTTTTATTTTATTACGTTTCACTACATCATTCTAGCTCATTCATCACACACACTTTTAGCTTTCTAAAATTACCTCCATTAGCTACCATACAATGTAATACATCATTATAATAATATCCAAGTGAAGTTCTATATCATTCACGTCATCGCAAAACAGAAGTAATTTTATCGCAATGACATCCAAACCTTTGTGCCAAAACTAAAACACATGCAAATTTTTTTAATCAAAATGAAAAGACATCAAAGCAAAGATGTTTTTGCTGATATTGACAAATAGGATGAAGATGTCGAACAAAACAAAAAATTTGGTAATAAACGAGTAAATACCTGAACAAGCATTAGAAGTGCATCTCTAACTTTTTCCCTTGTCACAGGTCCATATTCTGTCACAGTTGTGGGATTTGCAGTAAGAGATGGAGGTGGTGTTGGAGGAGGGAATGGCTGAAGCATTGGGGTACCATGCGGACGCTGCAGGTTCAATAGAGGATGAAGAGCAGGAGATGAAATAGACGAGACAGGTGGGATCAACAATGAAGACGATGAAGAGGTTACAAGAAAAGAAGAAGGCTTGACTAGATTAGCAACTCTATTACTGCTGATATGGTCAGATCCATCATGCGTGGTCATCATTGGAACTGACGAAGAGGTTCCAGAAAATGGTTGGGCTTGGACAGTTGGAGCATAAGAGGGGGTGACATTTGAGACATGGGATAAAGGAGCAGTTGGTGCACTAGTATGATAAAGTTGTCCGGATTGTAAGCCCTTTGAGAAGCTATTTTGCATATTCATAGCCGTCTGCAAACAATTGTCAAAAGAAATAAGTGTCTATAACAGTGTAATCCTACATTCTTGCAAAGAATCTTGATCAATATTCACTTTGGAAGCAGATAAGACTGTATCATATGCATGATACAACAAACATAGTATGTGTAACAGATCAGTTGCTTTGCTTAAATTGGATGCATGTAATAGCTTTTTCGACTTTTTAGCACCTAAAATTAAGTTATCTCCTTATTTATCAATTCAGCTTATATACCATTTAATTACTATATGATCCAGAGTAAGATATGATTAACTTATCCAAGAATCCTCACACTGAAGAAGTTTTCAAAAGAAGAATCCTCAGGCTGAACTGATGAAATGGTGGGATTAACTGATGGTTCCAGTGGTCCCTCAATCACTGCACTTGTTGGCACTGCTTCAAGTTCTTCAAACTCACTAAAAGAGGGATAAAAAGAACAAAAGGAAAAATGAGCACTTGATATAACAACCAACAGATTGTCCAAGCAGAATATTCTTCTGCATGCTATAACACTTTATTGGCAGCACTGATGACATCAACCAAGTCACTCAAACAAATTTAGGTTCTTCACTTTGCTTCACCCGGTCAAAAAGCAAACAATAATACTAGTATTAAACAAATGGAGACAGAAGGGGGGCAGCAGGAGACAACCGCCCCCTCCCCCCAACTCAGGATCAGTCAGCCCTTTACTCTATTTCCTAACAGGAAATAGCAGGCTGGTAGCACCAAAAAAAATCCCCCATTTAAGATTTGCTTCATACCTTTTGGTCGGAGTTGCTTGTGGCTTTGGAGGAACTTTTGAGTATGCATTTAGAATCCTGCATCAGAAAGCAAAGTCAACTTGTCAAGGGCACACATTATCTATTTATGTATACAGACACCAACAATAACACCCCTCTAGAACACATTTACTCTTTAAAGAATATCCAAGAACATTAACTACAGTACCATTGAGTACGCCGATAAAAAGAAAATTATTTTTGTTTGCTAACCAATAATGAGTCTGTCTAAAAAATGCCAAGTAAACATATTGCATCACTGCAAACTGAAGGTGTGTCTCTCTTCATTTATTCAGGAAGTAAATAGGGTGGGTGCAATTAATACCAAATGAAATACTTCAACATACAAATCAATTACTTATAACCTTTCATTCAGCGCACAAATCTTCTATATAAATCTAAGACCGAGAAAAGGCAACATGGAGCTAACAGGGTAAGAGTGACAGCAAGTCGGGATAGTGAAGGAATAAGATAATACCTAGTGAAGAGATTGGCAACCTCTTCACATTCCACAGTATTGTAGAACCAAATACCGTTCACTTCTTGGGCAGCATTACGGTATAACAAGTATGGAACTTGAATTTCAAACTCAAAATCGCTCAGCAGATCCTCCACAAGATTTTCTGACAACATTAAAAAAAAAACGTCAACAAAAGCACAAAAAGATTGGCTTAATGACATCAAGAAAGCATCAAGATATTCCTGTGTGGAATGGGTGTTATTCTGTTCAACTACTGATCAATCTCTTAACATATCATTGAAGCTGGCAAGCGGATACTCTCATATTTCAAAATCCAATGTGAAAAGGCAATGAAGGGGTTTGTTTTAACGAGCAATAATATTTGGAATTAAACAATCATCATTAGTCAGAACCTCAAACAAGAGATTCACTCACAAACAAGAAGCAAAAAATATAAGAACATGTACAACGTATGCAAACCTGTACTCAGCCGGTTCATGACAATGAACTGAAACCGTGGCTGTGTGTTCCTGATACAAACAGTAAACAATCATAATTGACGGTTGACTGCTAATCAGCACATGAAATGAAAGATTTACGGTTGAAAAATCAAGATAACCTCATGTAGTTGGACTATCACCTTTTAACAACAAAGAGAGACCCTTCAACATCCTTTCGACTCTGCAACCAAATCGAAAAGAAAAACCAAAAGACATCAGAGATGGAAGCCCCAAGCATCCATCCGTTGGTGCTGCCGCCAATGAAAAAAAAAAAAACATATCCAAACTCCATCGATTGAGTGTAAGAAACAGATACGACACTGGCAACTTCCTTAAGCCCTGCCCATCACTAGTTTCAACTCAGTTACATCTGGTTATATCGCACATGTATGAATAAAGGCATGAGGCTCTTAGGCATTAGTAGTATCCTCAAGTGCATTCGATCTAACAAGTAATACTATGGAATTTACCAAATTCTTGGAGAAGTAAGCCAATATCTACCAGCCTTGAAAGAGATTAAATAGGGCGAGTAAAGTAAATTGCACCAGTAATCTAAAATTAGTAGCGGAATTGAATTGTTACCCACCCACTGATTGAGGTCGAGGTTGAATTCGTAGAGAGTGACGTGAGCAGCGATCATCAAGATCTCTTCAATGAAGGGGTCAATTCTTTGGAGGACCGTGAGATTGAGCTTCTTAGTGCAGTGCTGGTCCAAATTAGGAGTCAGTTTTCCGGTGAGCGAGGAGGTCGTTGAAGTGGACAACGACGACGACATCTTCTTCTTCTTCTTCTTCTTCTCCAATTCTACTGACTGTTTTGAATTCCGGAAACGGCAAAACCCTACTTACCAGTAGCGTAATTACTGGAACCGAAACCGAGTTGATCTATGGACTGCCCAGGACAGAAATAAAATTTGGTAGGAACAGACTCCCGAAATATATATATATACATACACATATGTAAAAAAGATGTCTGTATCTATACAACACATTTATTGACGGACTATACGAGTATTTAATAGTAAACTTGATCGACTTCGCCGCTGAGGGAGACAAAAGGCCGAAGTTTGGGGGAGGAATTATTTATTTTTCTATTTTTTTTAACCCTTTCTTACTGTACTATTCTTCTTTCTGGGGAATAGTGAGCTACTAACGATAGAGCAACTCGCACCTTGGTTGGGGCCTTTGGGCTTCCATTTTTTACCCCCCCTCTTCAGGACAGCTCTTTGGGCTCAGACCAAATTGCAGTGTCCACCAAAAAAAAAAAAAAAAGAAGACTGGGGATTGTCCCAATTGGTTATAGCCCTTCGCTCGGTAATTTAAAGTATCCCATTAAAGATCCAAGAAGACAAAGGAAATAATAAAAAAGAAAAAGAGGAAGAAGAGGAATCAAAGTAGTTGGAAATAATTTGAACCACTTAGGTCTGAGAAATTAGAATCATGTTTCATCTCAACTAGCCGCTTCAGTTCCATCTTAAAATGTTTGCACAATTGTTTTAGAACCTCTTATTTATGTTTTACTTCATTTTGTTGGGCAAAGAGTTGGAAGCAAAATGCAAAACACATATTGGTAGTTTCGATCCATTTCTTTGGCACAGGGACAATAATATTTTGTTCTTAACAAGCAGTTCTCGTGAATACAGCAAATTGAATTGCAATCTTTGATCAATAAACACAAACTAGTTTGTCTTGTTTCCCCTCGTCTTGACTGATCAGGTCCTTGTTAACCAGAAAGAGCTCTCAAGATTAACAACCACAACACACAAACACAGAGAATTAATACAATTGGATAATTGAAGAAAACAGAGAAATGGTTGATCGACCAGTAAATTTGATCATATCTCCTGGATTAGTAATGTTTCCGAAGAGCCATAGCAGAGAGCACCACCAGGAATATTAGGAGGGCGACCGTGGTGAATCCTGCAATTACAGATCCACTAGTCTTTTGGCAGAAATCAGTGAACTGCTGGCATATTGCAAGCCAGTTTGCATTTGAATTTCCTTGGTGAGCCAAGTAGACCATAGCTGCCGCTGCAGCCGAAGCAGATGCAGCCAGAGTTAATGCCAGCTACATGGACAAACACACGTAACTAACCAGGATCAGTTCGGTATACCAAATACCAACACGATAATTGATAAAGAAACCAAAACCGCCATGAGATATGCAGATCTACATATAGGAGCTTATTCAATTACCGTATCGAAGATGATTAAGAGGAGCCTGGGTGCTACTGCATGCGGACGAGCAATGCACACTATGGAGAAGGGTATGGATAGGGCAAGGTAGGCACAAACTATGGCCATTCCGATCACAAAGAATCTGCGTACAAATTGACGGCATGTTCAGTTGTAAAGAACAATAATCTGAATTTGGTAGCATTTTAAGTAGGCGTAGACAGCACTGGAAGCAGTATCAAGGAGTGGGGTTGTTGAGGCGACTTACGAGAAAGTTGGGAGATCATCATAACTGGCTTGGAACTGGAAGAATTGAGTGAAGAAAGGAAGAGTTTGTTCGGCGGTTCCCATGGAAACGGTAGCGCCTAAAGCGGCCGCGGCAGCACTTACTCTGAGGATGAGGTCGAATATTGCAATCCCCCTCTTGTATCCTCCTGCCTTTGCACGCTCCGCCGGACCTGATCTTCCTCCCAGAAGTGGCGCCTTTCCTTTCCTTTCCCTGCCGGTCTCAGCGATGTCAATCTTGGCTGACTCAGATTTCTCCATTTCCAGACTTTGTTGGCACTCGAGAGATTCTTGTATGTAATGCGCGGATATTTGACTAACGAAATTAGAGAGGGAGAGGGAGAGGGTGTACAAAATGCAACTTCTTCTTGCTTCTGGCTTCGCTAATCGCTTGTTGATGAGAATGCAAGAGAATGGAACCTTTATATAGAATAGAAGACGGAGATGCAAGTCAATCAATCAATGATTTCTAACTCTGGTAGAAAAGTGGGAGGCCAGCTTATGATTCGCTTAATGGAGCAAGAAGAGTGGAATTATTATTTGCATCGACCCCTGAATCATAATGCAATAGGTTATGATGGGGTGGGTGTTCATATTAATTTTGATGATCAGTACAATTGTCTTTAACCGATTTGAAGTCGAATCATTTATCTTTGGAGGCTGAAGGCGCCAACGGGACTGCCTAAACCTCTCGATGCACGTCAAAAGCTCTCGTCATTCGGGGGGTAAACATCTCATAAGAACTGGGGTACAGGCGCCACTCATTAATTCTTTATTATTGTGTATCATCTATCTTCTGTATTTAGTAGTATTAGAATGTAACATGGAGGGATGGATAACGGTTTTTCTCAAGACAAAAACTAATCCAACTTTTTTGTTTTGTCTTTCAGAAAAAATTGCTACTTTATTTGCATGATTAGTCAACTAAACAACGAGCTTCTGCCGCCCTAATCCATTATGATGGACTTTGATTCTTCGGCTCACTTTTTCTCCTAACCCCTTCGTGCGCTCCGGTGTTCACGGACACCATTTTGTAAGATTTAACTTGAAAACGATTAAATTTCACGCTTTGACTATCGGTGGACTCTGCATAGACTAAATGGATATATAACTCGTCGAATGGCCCTATTTCGGTCAAACCATTCACAAGTTATTATGATGGATTCCCGCTGACCGATGGAGGGTCAATACAGTCAAGAGCGCATCTGATAAATATTCACTTGAATAAATTCATTTGCATAAACCAAAAATCCACAACAAATTCAGTTCTCTTTTTTCTTTGGGTTTTCCCTTTTTTCCCACTTTGGGGCGAGGGAAGGGGCTTATTGTTGTCTTGTTTTTGTTTTGGGATTTTTTTTGTTGGTTTTTTTTTTTTTTTTTGTGGGGGGGGGTGGGGGTGGTGGTTGATACATAGAGAGTGTTGAACATTATAATAGGAATAGAAACGAAAGCTGATAATAATCGATGTCAGGACCTGGAAGCACGCCTGCCCTATTCAGATAGCTAAAGGGGGAAGAAAAGGGCAAAAAAAAGCGAACTACTCGCAACAGACGCAAATCATAGAGGGGAAAAGTAATCGAGGCGACTTCACTCACCACACACTCACAGCGCCTACAACCTCCACCCACGCTGAGCCAGTGCTGTTATCACTTGAGCAGCTGCCTCCTCAGTATCATTAAGTGGAACGTACTTCCATCTTTCGGACATCTGAACCATATAAGAGGACAAAATTTTGGAAATTACATATCAACCGTCATGAGTATATTTGCAAAAGAAGCGGTCTGCAATGAAGTCAGTACGCTTAAATGGGCGATAATGTAGTATTCACTTCCATTGCACAACACTGTTAATGCAAAAATACTTAGCTGAAGCAAAATACTTCACAAATTGCATGGACGAAAATGGATGAAGGAAACATGGGACCAAAAGCAAGTGTCAAATAACTCTGCCCCACACCCCCACACACCCCAAAAAAAGAAAAAAAATGGAGCCATCAGATTTTAGAAGTTCATAATGCTTCCCAATTCCTTCTACTTATGATAACCACGGACTGAGGTTGCAGGAATAGATAACTCACATCTTCTTCACCAGTAAATGGTCGAACAGCTCCCCGATCTCGCAGAGATTTGTGAAAGTCTGCAAACTTCCACTTGCACTGCTCCGTCCCAATAACATAAACAGGCTTCCTGCAGCAACAATCTTTGAACTAGAAACAAATAAACAATTTAAACATATGTAAAGGACCTTAAAACCCTCAACTGGAGAGTTACCCTGTGCTGCAAGCCTCGCTCAACATACTAACTGAATCAGCTGTAACGACAAACGCATCACCCCAAGCTAAATGTCCCATATGTGGATTTGGATCTGACAAGTATCATATTCGACAATATTCACAAAGGCATGATTGTCCAAGTGCAAAAGACTCCAAATTTACATAAATTAGATATTGCAAAAGGTATGCCAGATGTCCTACTTTGACATCTTCATTCAGTGGACTTTCTAGTAATACCTGTTGCCTAAAACGATTTTCATTTGTCTAGACCTTTTCTAAAGAACCAAAAGCATAAATCTGCGTTAAAAATAGATTCATCTTGCTCGCTTCTGATATAAAAAAAAGCAAAACAAATTAAAGAAATATGGAGGAGTGGAATCCCATTAAAGAGGTTCAAATCTATTTAGAATTCTATGGATCCTTTGATTGCTGTCCTTCGCCCAATCTTCCAAATAGAGTTTCTCAAGGGGATGATCTTTTGTGTTAAAATACCGAGAGATACTTGTGTGCACAAGATATGCATAGACTGGCTTCTGTACTTATAATTTTATGTATAGCAGATAAACATAGACCTAGTTGTTGATGAATTGTATCAATCTACATTTCTCATGAAGGAAAAGGTGAACAAGCGTAGGGAGTACCTTGACCATTCCAAATGTAAACTTTAGGATGACTTCCAAGTTCCCTGACGAGGATGTCTGATACCTGTTTACTAGAGCAGTTGCAAGCTTTAGATCTATCAGCCAAATGGACAGCAAGGGTCCAGAGGAACATACCTTCTTTGGAGTTCTACGAGAAAAAGACACTCTTAGGCTGCCACAAGTTGAGAGAACATTCAGCAACAACGAAATTAGCTGCTTAGCAAGATCTACCCCATATCCACAATGGCCTGCATTTGTAAGAACACTAAAAGTTACTGATTATTGCAATGGGAAATTTTATTCTTTATCAAAGAAAACAAATGAATACCAGTATTCCAACAGAATAGATGCTTCATCTAATTATCTTGTCCTTAGATTTAACAAAAGCTATAAAACAGGTGCTAGTGCCAGATGGAGAATCAGTTTCAAGTAAATAGCAATTTTAATTGTATAACATAACATGAGCCTGGTCTAGATTTCTAGTTATGAAAATAAAAAAGTAACACACTAAATCGTATTCTGAGTAAAGCTAATGTCTCACAGTTCCAAACGCTTCAGACACCTCAAGCAAGGAAATTTATAGTCAGATTAAATGGAAGATAAACAGAATATTTCCAAATTCCATAATAGCAGTATATCCTGTATGAATGAAAAAGATAAACAAATGCAACGATTCCCAATCAAGGGATGGCCCCTTACTGAAATGCTCAGACATTGATTTCTCATGGCAACAGATAAAAGCCACTGCTGATAGGGAAACATAAAACTTTGAAGAAAGCAAGTACTTGTACACGTGCTAGACTACATGCCTTCATTCTGCATTGATAGGAGAAGGCTGAGGTATCCAAATTTTGAGACTATCATTGAAGAAAATAAAAGTGGGTATTGAGAAGAAACCTGTGGTCAACAAAAGAGTGACTATGTTACCCAAATGTACGATGAGGCCAAAAAACTCAAAATCTTTAGGTAGGTAACTACTAGATGGATGCAACACCGTAGTTAAGGCACTAGTCTCTCATGGAGAAAACAAGCATTCTCATGCTTGCAGCTAATTCATCCTCCCAGAAACACACAGAATTAGAATAATATTGCGCAAGAGAACAACCATGATATAACTAAACTAAATAACTTTAACAAGAAGACAGATGATTTTTTTAGTGATACCCAGAACACAAGGGTCAATTATACTGACATTACAAGGCTCAAATGCATGAGATTACCAGTAGGCCCCCCAATGTTGACAACAACCAATGGTTTAGGCAGTGGAGACAACTCATCATGCCAGAGAGACGCAGCTCTGTGCAGTGCAATAGAATCAACCTGATGCAGAGCGCCTATGGTAAGTACCTGACATACCACATTGTGATTGCTTCAGAGTCAACAAAGAATCCAAAAAGCTGCATATAGAAGTTCATTTGATGAAACTAATCTGGTTCAAAGATATATCAAGCACATACAACTTTTTGGTCAGGAGGTTCACGAGGAGTTATCCAACCTCGAAGAAACCAGGGAATCTGTTGCTGTCCCTCAGGTGCCAAGGGATAATAATCATGACGAGGCGTGACCACTAGATCGAACCTATTTAGTTTTGATCGGGGATGTTGAATCTGAAAGCATAACACAGAGGCAAAGTTATTTATGAAGCAATGCAGCTGCAGAAGTCCACAACTCACTTTGTAAACTACATAAACCAAACTATCTTGCTATTGATTTTGAAAAGAGAAGGAATAGACGAGAACCAATTAGGTTGACAAAATGAGATAATCAAGTTAGACATGCCAGCCCTGTTTCAGGCAAACATGGATAGAGAGTTAGAGACACAACCATAAAGAACAGACTGTAAAGATTGTATGAGCCATCTCGAACCTGAACAACAAAAACATTTTCCGGAGCTAATCGTTTTATAGAACTAACAACAGAAATAGTATCCCGCCCTGATGCAACCACCAATGTAGGGCCATCCCTAGAAATTTTAATTGAACACACTAGAAAATTAGATAGAACCCCAATAATTAAGAGGAAAAAAAAAAACAGAATCAATTTAGCAGCATTCATATGCTTTAAAAGTTGATGATAGAATTCAGAGTATAGTACAAATAAGCCTGAGATGAAGTTAAAACTAGAATCATAGTCGACAAAGATCACCTGAGATAAACTGAACACGACACAAACCCCACCTCCAAAAAAAAAAAAAAAACCTCAAACACGCACACACCCCCCATAAGCATATCGATGGAGGTACGATCTTATTTAGTCCACACAAACAAGAGAAACCAGACATATATCAGGGGTAATGAGTAATTTCAAGTAAAATAAATGGAGTAACCAAAAATTGAAGTAGTTGAAACCAAAGAAAAAAAAAAGAAACCAAAGAGCAGAAATACATACTTGTCCAACGTTTCCCGCGCCAGTTTCGCAATATAATGTGCTTTAGCTTCTGCAATACCCGAAAATCCTGTAACACGAAATCTCTTCACGACATTATGAAGGTTTTTATGAAAGGAAACTGGCAACCAGCGAAGCCAATCATTAATTCCTCCCCTGGGTCTAGTAACACGCTGCAATTAAATTTCAAGTGAAAGTAAAACTCAATTTCAATTTAAAAAAAAGGAAAAAAAGAAGCATTGGTTCTAGAATGAATGTACTGAATCTCTAATTTCGTCAAATGATTTTACTCTTACGTAGAGAGTGTGAGAGAGCCCCAAGGCTCGAACCAAACCGAGGCATTGGTTCTCCGCGCCGGCAATACCGTTGCCGATTATAACCGCTCTCCTGATTGTTGGCATATATAGGAAGGACGGATGGCTGGACGGGTAAAGGATGTAAATGGATGGAAAATTTGCAGAAAGATGGTACCGTAGATATTCTTCCCAGTAGAGGTTTTGGAAAGGGTTTTAGCGAGGGTTAAGAAACAAACCAGTTGACTTTGAGAACCGAGAACGCTAGCTCAAAACGACAGCGCAGTGTATAAGCGATGGAGAGCACGACTCGAAAACGCGAGACGCAAACAACGACGGAACCAAAATTGATTGAGAAAAAAAAATAAAGTGCTCTCGACCCTTCAGTAATTTCATCTTTTTTTTTTTCTCTTTTTCCTTCTTGGTTGGTTTTTTTTTTTAGGGTTGTTATCACTTTACCCCCTTAACGTTTGGTACTACTATCAATTTCCCCTTTAACGTTATCTTTTAGTTATTTTACCCTTAAAACTAATGATCAAATTTAACGGAGTTTGTTGATTAATGCAAAAAGACATGTTTGGCCCTTAAAATTATTATCACTTTACCCCCATAAAATATAGTCTCATTATCAATTTACCGCCTAGAGTTTTTTTTAAGTAATTTATCCTACCATTAAACCAACTTAACAAGTTAAAAAATTTTAGAAGAAAATACCCTCCTCTTTGCATAATAAAAATAATAAAAATTTTAAAGTGACTCTTCTCCTTTTAGTATCAAGAAAAAAAGTCAAAATATTAATTTCTTTCTTCTTGACAATTTTATTAATATTGAAAAAAAATAGAAAGATGGAAAGGGGGAAGGGGAGGGGAAGCGCAATTCTTTTTTAAAAAATTACAAATAAAAAGAATTAAATACTTTTATTATTTTAAAATTATTTCACTTTTTTTTTACCACCAAATTCTAATTCTAATCTCGATAACCTTAAAGTAATATGATAATGTTAGACTTTTCTTTTTTTGCAAAATCTAATTTTTGGTCTCCTTCTTTCCTATCTCTTTTTCTTTTCATAGTATTAATAAATGTGAAAAAAATGAAATTTGAGAAAACCCTTTATTTTTATGTTTTTCGATCTCTTAAAGTAAAACAAAAAAAAAAGAATAACATTCCAATTTTTTTTTATTTTTAATTATATATAAAAAGGGTAACTATATTTAAAATTTTTTGACTATACTAGTTAGATTAACGATGAGATAAAATTGTTAGAAAATAATGTTAGGAACTAAAGTGATTGTATCAGTATAATCTAAATGAATAAAGTGATAATAACAATGTAGTAATGTTATAAAATAAAACGGTATGTTTGTCCAAAATTTTTTAATATGTTGAATTGAATTACTTATGGAAGTAAAGTAACTAAAAGATAACGTTAAGAGGTAAATTGATAGTAATGGTATAGTTTAAGGGGGTAAAATGATAATAACCATTTTTTTTTATTTTACATAGCTTCAGTGCTTCACCCTTCATGTACTAAAAACAAAGGGCATTGAAAACGCCAAAACAATAAAAGTTGTACCATTAGTTTCATGTAATTAGGTGTATTTAGATTTGATACAAGCTCATTCTTAAGAGAGACAAACAAGCCTAAATGAAATTAATTTTTTTTTATCAACTTGTACCATTTATTTTGTGTAATTGATTCGACTCATTTTTCCTTTTTTACTTAAATTACTAGCATCAGAATTGAAAATGTATAAATAAAGAATTAATGGAAAAAGCATGATTTATTTGTTTCAACCGGTGACAAATATGTTTCTTTACGACATAATACATACTAAACTATGTAAACATCCGCCCGATGGTATCATTATTGAAAGAAATTACTAAAAGCAAGAATTAATACTAAATAATAACTCAGCTCCTTAATTTAAAAAATGTTCGTATTTTATATCTATCGCTTGGTTACGCCCTTTTGCTGGTTGTCTTTTTAAGAGTGGACTGATTTATTGGGCTAGTGTGATGATCTAATTGGGGGTGTCATTGATAATTAGCGCTGTATGTTTGAGTAGTCCTCTCAAGTCTAAACAGTCAAAGCCTCTGAGCATTGGAGGAGGAGGAGGAGGAGGAGGGAGAGATGTGGGCAAGCTCAGAAGGAGGAGCCCCGGAGGTGACTCTGGAAACCTCCATGGGCTCCTTTACCCTCGAGGTACCCCTTCCTACTCCTCCATTTTTTCTTTTCTTTTTTTTTTTGAATCTCCTCTTCCCTTTTCCCTATCTATGCATCTCAGTTCACACTCTTGCCCTAACATCAATATTTTTTTACTAATAATTTTTTTTTAAAAAAAGATGTACTACAAGCACGCTCCGAGGACTTGTAGGAACTTCATAGAGCTGGCTCGTCGAGGCTATTACGACGACGTCAAGTTCCATAGAATCATCAAGGTTGCTTTCTATCCCCATTCTCATTTTTAATTATTTTTACTCCCAAATCCCATGTTAAATACTGTTGTTAATTTTCTTTACGTAAAATAAAATAATACGATTGGATGCTTTATTGTTGGATATTGTGAAGTAGGATTTCGTAGTGCAAGGTGGAGACCCTACGGGCACTGGCCGCGGTGGCGAATCCATCTACGGGTATGACCTATTTTCTTCCGTTCTTTTTGGGAGGGAGTCGTGGTATAAATTCAATGTCATGAAATTTTTTCTGCTCTAATATTTTTTTTTTCTTTGCTTTAAGAAAAGTATTTTTTGTCCTGCTTTCACCTGGTGAAGTCTAGTTTGCGCAATAATCAAGACTATATATGTTTTGTACACGTGTGTGTTTGATTTTCTGTTTGGGATAGTCTTATTGAAATACATGGTTTCTTGGCTGCAATTTGTGGTATGCATTGATGATTTACTCTACATATCAAATGGATTCCCTGAAGACATTTGGATAACTAACCTTGTAGTGGGGTTGTATAGTCTGCGCTCGATTTTTCATTATAACTCCTCCTCGTGTTTTGCTATGGATTAGTGTTTTCGACATAGACCCTGGAAGGATGTGATTGTAACTTCTTATGATTGGCAGTCCCAAATTCGAGGATGAGATTACTCCGCAGCTTAAGCATACTGGAGCTGGTATCATATGCATGGCAAATGCTGGTCCAAATACTAATGGAAGCCAGTTTTTCATTACCTTGGCACCTGCACAGTCACTTGACGGTAATTTATGCTTCCCCTCACGTTACAACCAGATTTCAGTACTAAGTATCTCCCATTAATTATTGTGTAACTTGCACTTTTCATCGATCTCTATTAGCCTACTTCTTTTTTTTCAAAGGCAATTCTTCTTGCTGGGCACGAATGTTGTTTCTCAACTGATTTGAGATGGGCAAGCAAAACCCTTGTGTACCTGCCTTCCTGTAGTAGTGCAGAATTTTCCCCTCCTCCTTCCTCATTTGGTGCTTCTTTTTGTTTTTTGTTTTTCTTTTTCTGGGGGTGTTGGGGTTCAATTTTGCATATGTCTCCCCATGCTGCAGGACTCATGAGCTTGCTTGTCCAAAGTCCCAAATTTCTTTTTCAACATCACCTACTGGTCCAGTCAGTGTACGAATCATCAGCAGTTGATGAAGACTTGTATTTTTTTGTTTGGGTGCGCAGGGAAACATGCAATATTTGGAAGAGTATGTAGGGGAATGGAAATTGTCAAGAGACTCGGCAGTGTTCAGACTGACAACACGGATAGGTTTGTCTTTCTTGATCATGTTATTGACTGCTTCTCTTGTGCAGTGTAAGGAATGAACCGTTGCTGTTCCATCTCTAGCCATAGGCTCATAGTCCATCATCGATTCATAGATTTACCCTTTATTTTTTATGTTAGCAAAGATTTTGTGAGCGGTTGCATTTTTTCAACTGAGCGTTAGATCTTTTGATCTAATTCTTTACATTTTGAAGTGGTCGTTGCCCATCTATTTGCAAAAGATTACAAAATACTAATCGGCATTGCGTCTCCTATTAAATATTATTTCCTTTTTCGCTTGACTTGAAGTTCCCCAAATTGCAGTGAAATAGCATTCTTTCGTGGACATTTAAACTGTCTTGCGATTTCTTTTACATCTTGCTTTCTTAAGCTGTATAGTTGAAATTTTTTATGACTTCATATTTTCTTATTTATCAGACCAATCCATGATGTGAAGATACTGCGGGCTGTAGTCAAAGATTGATGTATATCGTGTGGCTCGAGTATTCGAGGTTCAGCAGTTACAAGTAGAAACAAGTGATTGAAATTCAGAAATGTCAAAACTATTGGTAGGGTTTTTTTTGTTTTTTTAAATCAAAGGGAAAAAAAAAAGGAACTCTTTGGAAATGTTGCAACGGATATACTTTGAAAAGGGTTTAATTTGTGGTTCTAATTTGCTCCCTTCTTCATCTGATTTTTGGTTTTCCCTTATTGTTATTCAATGTCATGAATCTTGAGCCTCATTTCTCATAATTCGACAGCAGTGCCATTCTCCTCTTTTTTTTTTCCAATCCTTTATGGTCAAAGTGAAGGGCGCCTAGTGCATGAACCAGCAAGGATCATTGCAAAGGTAAAGCTCGATTTCCCCACCCTTTCAGCCTTCGGCTTGAGTACTAATAATCTCTGAAGAGCGTGCTGGCTTTTAAATTTCTTAAGGCAATGAAATACTCGCCAGCAAAGTTAGTTCAAGATGTCCAGTCTACTTCTTGATGAATTCTTGAAGCTTTCAATAATATGAACCATCAGTCGACGCTAACTGGTCCACAAATTTATATTAAAAAAATTCCTTCAAAAGCGCTCAATATGATATTCGAAGATCCTATATTTTACAAAATCCCCATCTCTTTTGCTACTGGGGTAGATGTAGATGTAGATGTGGAATGTCATACCTTAATACAAATACCATATGATCACCTCCGTGTCGCTATAAGCTATACTCCTCCTATACCTTAAGCAGGTTAAGTTTTTTCGGGTAAACAATGCCGCCATCATCCTACTCGTGAAAAAATCTGGGCCTAAACACTGAGCAACACTTGGTTGCCACCATGGCTAACGTGAGTACTAACACATCAAGCCTCAATTCAATATATGATACAGAAGGCTCGATTTAAAAAGAGCAATTGCAGATTCTAACGCACAATCAAATCTCTCCAGAAAATTCTTCAGTTACAGGCCTTCATATTTTAGACTAGCCACAACGTGCCTCAGGTAAGCTGTCATCTTTGACTAAACCCCATTTTCTTCAACAGATGAGGGGTGGTTTATTATGGAAGATTGCCCCAGACTGAGTCCATTAACCATAACTGATCCAAACGGGCCATCATTAGATGTAGAGATCCTCGTGGGGTCTGAAAATTTGATAACTGGCTCTTCTGGAACTACCTCTTGTTCATGTGAGTTCTGTTGCTGCGCCTGCTCCCGTGCCTGCTCTTTCTTTAAAAGCTCCATCCACCTTAAGGACGGCACGTCATCCTTGCAGTATCTGCGCCACATATTCCTGTAGGCAGACTCTAGGCCCTGGGTAAACTTAGGTCCGTCACAAAGAGGTGACTTGGACATAAGATCTCGCAAACCTCTTCTCAGGTTTGAGAGAGCGGTAACATCTGTTGCTAACTGTACAGCCTGTTGCACATATTCATCTTCATTCTTAGCAACCAGGTTAGGTAAACCTGCAACCCAATGGCCATGAAAAAAATCCATGACGTTGACATAAAACTAAGATATTAGTTAAAGCTCCACGTGTGCTAAAAGGCCCATAAAGTTCTGCTCACAAAATGAGGCACACAATTTCTTAGCAAATACAAGTGATGCAGAAACAATGGACATATGCTTATCATTCTAATTTTGATCCAGAAACGATGGACATGCGCTTATCATTCTAATCTTCCTCCCTCTATACCATTTTTCAACACACAAAAGGGTTGGGAGAACTGTAACATCAATGCAATGAGCCAGGATATTATCCAAAGCATGCCATCTACTGGTGTCATCATCATGTAAATATTTCTTTACCATTTTTTCTTCATTCCGGTTAGTGTAATTTTATGAGAGTTATCTAACATGGCAATGAAACTAAGAAAACTCACAAGAAGTTACTTACCAACAGTATTTAGTAGACTAACACCGACATTATGTGCATGCACTGAACCTCCCATGGTGACACATGGAACTCCCATGTAGAGAGATTCACATGTTGTGGTTGTTCCAGCATAAGGAAATGTATCCAAGCTACACATAACAATGATAAAGATCAGTCAGTTTTGCCAAGTCATAAATTGAAAAGAATCTCAGAGCTTGTTCAGAATAACAATCTCAATATTGCTTGCAAACAATTGGCAAAAATAATTATCATATCATATAAAACAGAAAAAAAAAAATTAAAAAAACCCTAAAGGTTTCATGTTTGAAATTGCCACTTTATGCATTGCTAATTAATGTTAAAAGATTGCTTAACTAGCTTTTCATTCTCATTTTGAAAGATAAAATGGCTACACAAGGACATTGAAGCATTAGATTAAGTAGGAAGCCTTTTGATTTGATTTCCCAGTCTGCCATGAAACTGAGGGCACAAAAAGTTCCTAACAGACTCGCAAAAATAGGTAGATTTAGCCGACACCTCAGTTACAGCATTATCAGCTTGCTGTCGAAACAATGACTCACAAAGCACAAAAACAAATGAAACCTTGAATTCCTTTTTCTCCATGAGACTCGCAAAAAGAGGTAGATTTAGCCGACACCTCAGTTACAGCATTATCAGCTTGCTGTCGAAACAATGACTCACAAAGCACAAAAACAAATGAAACCTTGAATTCCTTTTTTTCCATGCTACTTACAAGATAAACACGCAACTTAATTACTTTTTAACATTTTTTTAATTCTTGTGGTTAACATTAGGCAGAATTTTTTTTTCATTTTTGTGCTTTTTTTTGGGAAGGGGTGGGGGGGAGGTGTTTCTTTTCTTCGAGGCTTCCTGTTGGAACTAACGTATTCGCATACATGTGCCAGACTTGTATATCTCAAAGACAAAGAATCATCCAGGAACAGGAGCACCAGAAAACATAACTGATAGAGATTTTCTTGTTCTCTTTATCCAATTTTTTCATTTTAAAATTCTTTGTAAGTGTCAGTCTTGCCAAACAAAACCCGCTTTTTAACATTATTCCAATAACAGCACAAATAAGGCTTAACTAACATGGGAGGAGGGCTTGATTGGGTGGTAAGGGGGGAGGGATTGTAAATAGGAGGTCATGGGTTCAAGACCTCCCACTTACCAAAAAAGAAGAAGAAGAAAGAGGCTTAACTAACTCATTTTAGAAGAAACGAAATACTAAGGTTGGTTTTTAGCAATGGAGTAATTACCTTATATCCATGAGAGAATATGCTTGCATATGATCATGATTGAGAAGAATTAACGGCAAAAGGTCTACACGGGTCGAATCCAACCCCAGCTGCTCTAGTGTTGAAAGAAACCTTTGTCTCACACTATCACAACAAAAAGGTTTACACTTTACGATAAGCCGAGAATTTGGAACTGCACGTAGAATCCTTGCCCAAACTTGGAGCACTTTAGGTGTTATCTAATGTTAAGAGAACAATAAAAACAGTATGAATAAAACCAGCAGCCTACCAAAAACCCACTTGAAGACCAAGGTTACTTTACAAGTAAGTTTCTTCAGACAGACATTAATACCTTTGCCAAATTGTTAAAGCTACCAAAAGTGACGAAGCCGTTGGACAGAGCAGGAGTGGGAGATACTGGCCCAGCTTCAGGGGAAGGCGTATAACAAAGAAAGCATGCTGGTAATCTTACTAATTCCTCAACATGTCTGCCATAGGTATCAGTGATCAAAAGAAGACACAAATGGATCCAGTAACAAATTTTAACTAATTTAAGACCAAAGGATCACCTACTTCTGCTTAGTATCAGGAGAATCGGCCAAGGGATCACTGATTCTGTAATCAATGGTGGGCAAACCAGTTGTATTTGGATAGCCAATCCATGTTACCTATCACACAAGGACAAATACAGAAAATAATTCACAAGATTAGCAATCAACTGACAAGAGGCACCAGATCAAGTTACCCAAGAATTGATGCAGTAGTGTCTCAATAAACTCATACTAGTAAGGCTCGCGATGTCATTTCAGGAAAGAAAAAGGGGAAAAACTTACCCACCAAGTTAGCTAAATGAAAGGACTGAAATAAGATAACTATTGGCCACCACATTCTTTACCCGATTCCCTCTTTGTGTGTGCGTGTGTGAGAGAGAGAGGAACAAAATTTTACTTGGTAGACAAATAAGTCGAGGCAAACATGACTGCTAAAGTTGGCCAAGTCTCTAACAATTGAAGTTGGTAAAGGGGATAAAACAAATTTTCTCAAAAAGAAAAAATAAAAAGAAAAGACCCCATAATGATACTCATGAGCTTACATACCAAAAAACCAAAAGGAACGGAATTTGTAAACCACGGTTAATTTCATCCATTTACAAAATAATATGCCAGGAGAAATCAACAGCAAAAAGACACAGAAAAATGTCACATGTCAAAGATATTTGGCAGATATCCTGCTCCTGATACGGAAAACCAACAGATGCATTGTACAATAGATTATCACCACCAGTATGAAGTAAGCTGCATGATTCAACCACAAACAGAGTCAAACCAGCAGATGGTTGCAATTATAGCTCAAGGTTGAAATTTTTTGCATGTAAAATTCCATTCGGTAATATTTCAAATAACTCACAAGGTTTAAGATAGAATTACATGAGTAAGGAAATTCAAGTCCCCTCATCCTTATTACACCTGTTTTCTGAATGATAGCAGCAAGTCTAAGAAATCTTAAATAACAGAGCTTCATTGCAACTCTAGAAACAATTTCGTTTGTCACGCTAGAAGATCAATGAATATGCCAACAAATTGGTTGGCAGACTATCTATCTATATTAAGTTAAAGGAATTCAGGCAGAGTTCTAACAGTTAAAAACAGACTCATAGGAGAACTGACACAGACAAACATAGAAGAAATGGTGATAAGCCAAGTGTTTGCCTCAAAAGTACCTGAACAGGAGCAGGCCGACAGGCCATCATTCCCAACTTGTTGTTTGCAGTATGACCAGTAAGTTCAACCAATATATCAACCTTATCTTCTCTAACCATATTGGCAACCTTTTTCTCATCGACCCCATATATGTCTCTCCATATACCACCCTTTTTCAAGACTCTGTCTCTAAACCTAATTGTCTTTGCATCTGCCTGTCACATTGTACAGAACATATTAACAAACCTCAAAGCTTAAAACAGCTATAATGCAGCTTTCAAAGGGATAAAGAGTCAGGAAAGCACAGTCTATGTTAATGCATTGCACTCAATAGGAATGGCTATAACAACAGAGAAAATCACCAAGAAGTACAAGACAACTGCAACATGATCCAACACCAAAGAAGTACATGACAACTGCAACATGATCTAACACAATGCTAGCAATCATGAATAGTCAGAGAGAAAGTTGCAACTCTTTGTACCTTTACGACTGCTGAATAAACCACAACCTTGTAATTTTCATAGTCATGATAGACAAGAGGTGCTTCAATGAAATATGACACAGAATGTGTAAAATAATCAGGAGACACGTATCCAATGGTAAGTGTCCTTTCTGGATCTTTAGGGTTGTCCCATGAGGTGTACTGGGAATATAACCTCATGAAGCGACTGCCCCACTCCCTGCATGTAAAACTTTGAATTAAAATAAGGCATTGGATAATGTCAAAAAGGGATTCTAGCACTCCAAATAACTTGTACAGCTTCAGAAAGACAAATTCAGCCTGGCAACAAAATATACAAGAAATTGTAAAAGCAAGTGGATAGCCAGTATTGTGGACAAAGATATCCAATGAACCAAAAAAAAAAAAAATCATCAGCTAAGCCCATGATGACATGCAGTATCAACATATGAAAAAAAAAGGTGAAACTTTCAACATGGGTGTTTAGATTTAATAGTTTATCTCAATGTTACATCATGAGATTTGTACACATAAAATTTGCAGGAGCAAATATATAATAGGGGGAAAACCCTTGATTCTCCCAAATCATCTAAAGTGCAGTTAAACTTAACACGTAAAGCAGAGAAGGAGAAAATGATGTTACTAACAAAAGCTTACCAGAAAGTAAAACAAATGATGTTGCAAATAAGAATTCTTGATGTTCAACAATTTACACCTTAATTTGACAGTACATGATCGTCAAGCAGCATACAATCTCATGATAGTTCCCCTACTCTTATCCTCGGAGGAAAAAAAGTAGCAAAAGGAAAGGGATCTAAACGTAGTGCATTATGTGAGATCTTCTTCCAATTCTCATATGGATTTCATGACAGAAGATACTAATCACTTTAGGATCAACCATGCAGGGGCAGCAATACATGTAAAAGGTCACACATAAGAGTGATGTCGGACATTGTGGATGGCCAATTTGTTCAGGTTCAAGGTTATCTGTTCCCACATCTGAATGAAGTTCTCCAAGTTCTTCAACAAAAACTAACAACCTTGCCATATTTCCGGCCATTACATCATTTCCAAAAGCAACAACAAATGATTGAGAAACCAACACCCCCACAAACAACCTTCTCATAGCCACAAACAGCTTTACATCAAATCACCCAAAAATGATCTGCTGACAGATCTTAGAAGACAAGTGCTTACCACATAGGTTTCAACTGTTTCCATCTAATGTAATTGATATATTCATATATCATCAGCCTTAATCTAGCCAACAGGATATTGGGCAGAAAAATAATGTAGGGCTGGGGCACAAAACAGGCCAAAAAGCCAAAACAATAACAAAATTCCAGAGTCAAATTAGATATTTTACTTTCTACTAACCTATCTTTCAAAATAACCTGAGCTACATAATAATCATTATAGTAGGAACAACACTGACATCAACTATGCCATTGTAAGCATGGTTTGTGTTCAAACAACTCGCACAAAAGCTCCAGGAAAACCCTTATGCATAAAGAATGCAGCTTGCACTGGAAAAAGCAAAGAAAAGCAACATATATGTGTGATAGCAAACTCAACCTGTGAGCCTCATATAGTTTGTCATCTGTTCCCTCATTTATGTAGTTCATTGCAAGCAGTCGATTCTGCAAAAGAGAAAACCAAATGAAGTATCAGAAAATGAGGGACAAAGGATGAGTGTAGCTAGACAAACAAGACTAGAACTTAAAAAGTCAGAATGTTGCACAAGAAAAGAGAAATGAGTAAGGAGCGGGATGCTATTGCATGGTACAAGAAGCATTTAGAGTTGACATAACTTTATGCTTTCATATCAGGAAAAAAAATACCTGGCCTGCATTACGAGAATCAGGATCAATTTTAAGGCACCGCTCATATGCATCAATAGCCAGAAATATACTGCCTGCATCTCTATAAAGAACTCCTACACCAAAAAAAGAAACTATCACCAACAAGCCAATTAATACCAAAAAAAGAAGGGGGGAAAATGAGAAAAGGTAAAAGAAAAGAAAAAACTCAAAACGTTAGACATAATACTATGACATAGAAGATAACAAGCACAGCTTTATTGAAGAAAATTGAGGAAAACAGTCCAGCATAAAAATTTTTAACTTCAAACCACTTTGAATGCTATAAAGATGCACATACATGATAATGCAAGGCCCATCCATTTGGTGGTCAGTTCTGTCATCTCTTTTTTCTTTTTTTTTAAAGAAATTATAAAACAAGGAAGAAGATATGATTTACCCACTCTGTTCTCCCCCGAACCCCCCGCCCCGGGTCCTACACGTCAAAATAGTTCAAATATGATATGATTCCAATTTTAGAGAAGCAAAAATGATGCGAAGTTAGCTGCTAGGCTTTTGGAACCAACTCATAATGGGAAAGCCTCTGATCTGCCTTCTGTCTATCTACTTGTTTTTGGCCATGGACAGTAGGAAGGGAAATTTCCTGCTACCATTTAGCCTAGATTGCAAAGGCATCTAGCCATCGAACACGTCATTTACGCAAACATGCTGAAGTACAAATTATTTTAAGTCCAAATGCTCTATACCAAGCGCAAAGCATTTTCTCCAATCCCCAAAAGCCATTAGGAGAGCTATACAAGCCCAGACACCACTTAATGCAAGTCAGGTCATTATCTAAATTCATGTCATCCCCATGCCCACTGGGAAAGTAGAAATAGTGAAAGCTAACCAATGGACATAAGAACCACAAAGTCAGCCTGGTAACATTGTTGAAATTAAAAAGTACATTCCAGGAGATTCTGTTGCTAAAAATGCGAAAAATTTAATTTCCAGAAATTATTTATGTGATAAGTCAACATCAAATTTGAGATACAGATATTGCTTTTGCCTCATTAAAGCGCTCTGATGTCCACATAAAACGACCTAAGGACGAATATCTAAGCTGCCAATATTGAAAGATCATCAAAACAATCTACACTCCACCTTCAAGTTTATTACATAAACCCCAAACTCTTTCCATTTATCAATTCACACAGTGTTACAATAAAAATGTGTCAAATTGAAAGTCGTTGATAATGCAGAAAGACAAAGCAACACAGAAAGTTAACCTTATTCCAGAATTCCCACCTAGAGCTCTTACTTGCTGTTGCTCCAACCTATAAACTTATAACCAACCCAGACCAATTGGGTTAGGTAACGCAATAAGAGTCACTAATTGTAGGTACTAAGAACACATCAACAAAATTAAGGAAGGAACTGAAAATTTTGGAGGGGTGAAATCTAATCTCACGTTGAACCACCAGAAGTAGCTGGGACTGAAGAGCATTCTAAGCTAATTAGTATGAAGCCAGGTAGAATTATCTCAATCCTAAAATACAAATAGGGAGAACTGATAATCAATCGTTTAGACATTAACATACCAACAATTGGGCAATTGAATTTGGTATAATTAATGACGAAATAATAGGTAATTTCAGAGTTGAGCGAGGATGGAAGTAGGGGTGGGCGAGGGTCGGGTACCCGCCCCATTCATCATTTGGCTGACCTGACCCACACCTTACAGGTTAGCCATTTTTTTACTCTTACCCGCATCGCATATCAACGGGTACCCTATAATCGGGTACCCGCTGAAATAGGTCAGGTCAACTGGTACCCACCCCGTCCCATTTATCATTTAATTTTAAAAAAAGAATTTATACCAATTTAATTTTATATTTTACACATTCATCTAATATTTAATAAATTTTTTTCTAAAAAAAGGTTTCCCATCAAGAAACAAGCATGTGAAGAAAATATAAGATAAAGGAAAAAGAATTAAAAGAATTCGAAATCAATAAAAGTTTGAAATAAGTAGCACAATTTTTAATATATATATTCCACATTAATTAAACTTTTTTCTATAAAATATAAGATTATGACATCTATAAATGAATCTTGTAAATAAACTATAGTCTCTCATATTTGTAAACCTTTCTTTAAAACTACTTATTTAAAGTTTTAAAGATATCACTCAACTTTCATATCAGTGAGATGGATCCATTAATCACCATCATAGCACATGAATTCACAAAATGATCTTAATATTTCAATTTTTAGGCCAGACATTATTATTTAAAAGCAAACCACGTAAATCTTATATTGCAATCAATTTGATAGAAAATTCAACATAAAACAACACAAAATGGTATAATTGGGAGAAAAATATATCTCTACGTTATATTATTATTATTATAAGAATATTCTAATAATACAAGGGTGAGATAGTTACAAAAGTATGGTTTTATGAGAGATTAGTGATTTTTATTTTTTTTTTGCACATGTGATCTGTTTTAAACTTTAAAAGTGTCAAGTAATATTTACATAAATCTAAGGGAAGTTTCCAAAAATTTCTGTAGCTAAAAGGGTGGAAAATATACCGCATCACAAATTCGAGGTGCAAAAATATGCATTTAATAGTTAGAGAATTAAAAGTCGATGAGTTTGGCCTTGCTTTGATTGCGATTTTTCGTTGGAAAATTACATCGTTTTCCGAGATCACATTTCCCTATTACCTTTTTTCTTCACATATATCCAATCGCTATAGTAATTTTTTCATGAAAATTCATGGAAAATGCAATCCAAACACAACCTAACAGTTTGAGGGCCATCCAGATTTTTTACTCTAGTAAATATTCGTAGTACACCTATGTAATATATATATATATATATATTTTCATTCTTACACATAATTCAAAAACTTTTCTATTTTTATATTTTAAAAATATTCATACTTTTTAATTAATTATGTAAAACACTAATAATTTTTTACATATTATACTTCATGGATTATAATTAAATTTTGAAAATTTTTAAAATTTGAATAAAGACAATGGCTTTTCTTCTTGGTTATTTATAAAAGAACATGACATATAATATAATTCTGTAGATTTATGCATATAAAAGTAATGAGGTGATGAAATTCCAATAAATTTACCATCTCCTATACAAGGACACGAATTAAAATTAGTATAAATATAGCACATTCTTTAAAAAATATATAGAAATTCTAACTGTATTTTAAGTTTTATAATTTTTAAATATATTCATACTGTTCATGTAGAAATTTATATGCATAAATTTCATTGAATACGTATATTTTGTGCTAACCTTTTAATCACACTTTTGAAAAAAAATCACATAATATTCATACATACAACATCTCAGGGAATTGTTGGGTTGGGTAGTTTGGTGGAAAGGATTGTAAGTAATAGATAATAGTTTCAAAACGTCCCGCTTACATGAAAAAAAAAAGTGTTTGAATATTAGATTATTTGGGATTGTTTTTTTTAAACTTGTAATACCTTTTTGATGCAATAAATGTGAAATAAGAAGGTGATTAAAAATATATTGATGATACAAGTAAATGATACAGTAAATAAATTTTATAAATAATCTAGTATCCAAACAATCGCATTTATATCTGTTTCATAATTCACGGACTATGCATGTAGAAGGCATACCACCTTAAAATAAAGTGGGTTTTATGCAGTTAAATAAGACATTTGATTGATGCAATTTTAAGATAACTGACAGGTTTTCATATGTTAGGAAGAATTGAAGTTTTGACTCCCAATATATATGTCACGCGCAAAAGTAGTCCCAATTTGTTTCATAAAACAAATTTGGTCTCCAATATAACAAAATTTGGGAAAGTGAACAATTGACGGATTTTGTTTAATTTTTGTGAGAAAGAGGTCACATGAGATCACGTGTCCGCACTTAAAACACTTTTTTCATTTTTTTTTTATGTGAAAACTCTTAAAAAATTATCTGCAGCTTTCCTTTTAATCTTTAATAATGACCTAATGTTTAATTATTGCTGGTGAGTAATTATAAAGCTTAAGTAGTAACCACATCGTCTAAAATTCAACTATAAAACATTTAAAATTTCATCTCATCGGTACCATAGCATATTATGAGCACTGTAGCAACAACGTGCTATTGTGCTTTTCTAGCATTATTGGTTCAAACAATTTTATACCATGAAGCTGTTTGGTACATTATTGGGGATAATTCATATAATTTTAAACCAAAAAATCCTCGTCATTGTATTATATATTTTCTTCCTATCTTCGTAACTTTTGTTTTGTATTAAGCTTTATCTCTTTTGAACCTGTTCTTCTAAATTCAGCAACCTAGGCAAAAGACGAAAGGGGTTTTTAGCAATCAATAAATCAAATGTTTTGATATCGACAACATATTCAAAGTATTTTCTTTTTCTTTTTTTCTAAAAAGGTGTGTCATGACTCGTAAGCATTTATCATACACATACATACAATTTAAATAATTATATTCACATTTATTATCCTCTGTATTTAGTATTCACTAAAATTGAATTTTATTTTCTGCAAAAAAAACTAAAATTAGACCCCAAAAATAATAAAAAAAGATGTGGAACAAAAAGCGAAAAAGAATGGGTCCGTTTGGATTCTTGTTTTTGGGCTTGTTTTTGAAAAACTGTTTTTCACAATCTAAATGCTATAGTAAATGTGTATTTCAAAAACAACTCCAAAAACACTATATCCAAACAATATATCAAAAACAACTCCAATACATATTTAATATATTTATTTCAATTTATATATTTCAACTATGTATAGGATACATATATTATATTAATTTAAATATATTTATTTATACATATTATAAATATTTTATTTTATATAAAATATATTTTTATATAAATATTATATATTATATAAATTATATATATTATAAATGTGTTATTATACATTTATATAAATGTTATATATTATATATATTTAATATATACATAATATATATTATATATATTGAACATTTATAAAAATGTACATTTAAACATAATATATATATTTATGTATATTTATAATATACACTTATATTATGTATTATATATAATATAATACATTTATACATTTATATTAATATACATAATATTAATTATAAATTTATACATAATATTAATAAATTTATACATTTATATTTATTACATTAATACATTTATGCATAGTATTAATATATATTTATAATATATTAATTTATACATTTATATAATATTCATTTATAATTTATACACATTTATAATAATATACATTTATAAATATATTTATATTATGTATTATATATAATATAATACACTTATAATACATTTATATATTTATTTATAAATATAATATATAATAAATAAATATAATACACTTATTTATTTATATATAATATATAAATTTATTTATAAATATAATACACTTATTTATTTATACATAATATATAAATATATTTATTTATAAATATTTATAATTGTATTATAAATGCATAAATGTATATAAATATAAAAACATAAAAACATAAAAATTAAAATTATAAATTATAATATACATTTATATAATATTTATTTATAATTTATACACATTTATAATAATATACATTTATAAATATATTTATGTTATGTATTATATATAATATAATACACTTATAATACATTTATATATTTATTTATAAATATAATATATAATAAATAAATAAATGTAATACACTTATTTATTTATATATAATATATAAATTTATTTATATATATAATACACTTACTTATATATAATAATATATAAATATATTTATTGATAAATATCTAAATATATTTATTTATAAATATTTATAATTGTATTATAAATGCATAAACGTATATAAATATAAAAACATAAAAATTATAAATTATAAATTATAATATACATTTATATAATATTCATTTATAATTTATATATTTATAGTAATATACATTTAAACATTTATATATTTATTTATAAACATTTATAAAAGTATAAATATATTTATTTATAAATATTTATAAATGTATTATAAATGCATAAATGTATATAAATATAAAAAATAAAATTTATAATTTATAATTTATACATTTATATAATATTCATTTATAATTTATACATTTATACATTTATAAATATATTTATATTATGTATTATATATAATATAATACATTTATATATTTTTATATAAATATATTTATTTATAAATATTTATAAATGTATATTTGTATATTGTTATAAAAATTTAAAAATTATACATTATAAAAATACTCGAAAATATGTTTTAAAAATATATCTAAAAATAATCCATAAAACATCTACAGTAAAAGTTTTTTATATAATTTTTGAAAATAATCAAAAAAATAATTAATCCAAACGGACTTGTATTTGAAAAACGAAATGCTACGGTCATGTTTTTAAAAAACAACCCAAAAAACAGTTAATCCAAAATAGTTTTACCATTTAGGACCGCGGCAACCCGGTGCGCAGCAAATATATACAGATGTAACTTGAATTTTGGCTTCCAAACTCTGGAATATCCAGTTTAAAAAAGAAATTGGCAAAATTCATGAAGGGAAAGTAGTTTCCGCTGTGCTCCATCAACTCTCACGGTTTTTTTTTTTTCGGTACAAAGGAGGGCGTTAGCCCGTTATAAATTAACTAAACGTGGGATTGCCACTCCACAAACATCACGGCTCAGAAGTGTTCGTAAAGCTTGTGGAGGTTCCTGGAAAATAGTCATCCCCGCCGTAAACCCTTTCCTAGCTTCGCCAAGTAATCTGCACAACAGTTTCCTTCACGCCACGAGTGTTCCAAATTACATTCCGTCATCTTTGTCGATCGTCCTCCCATCTTCTCCTGCAAAGTCGAAAACCCTGATTTTACTAAAATATCTGCAACTTTTGCCCCCTTTTGATCCTGCTCAGCTATGGCGATGACCGTTGAAGGTACACGCTTATTCGATTGACTTTTCGCATTTACTCAACTGCTCTAACGCAGTGCCGTCTGATATTATTATTATTAAGTGTTTTGTCTAATTTTGCGGTTGACTGATTAACTCAATTTCAATTGTTAACAGTACTCTAGAGTTCTATCATTTTGATAATCAGGATTGCTTTTGTATATGAACGTTATTATGAGATTGTTCTAGTCTTTAATTTCACGAAATATGAATTGACTTGTGCGAACTAAAAGCCCAGGTCCGCGTATATTGAAATTTTAGTGGCTGACCTCTGTTTTTTTTTAAAAAAAAAAAAATTTCTTAACGCATTTTCACGCTTTATATATCGTAGTTCTGCCATCGAGCGTGAATTATTGCAATTTATTAATCCTATTTGAGTAGAGAGAGCAGAGAGAAAGTGGAGTATTTTATCTAAATGACGGGGAGATTTAGATTTAGTAGTTGTTGGTTTCAAGCGGACATTGTATCCCGTTGGTTGCATTTTGATATGTTTGATATTTCAAAGCGCTAACACTTCTTCTTTGGTCGTTCTAATCGGTTTCCTGGGGTTCTTGTTTCATGGTGCTCGCTCATCGGATGCAGTGTAAGTTCGATGTTGACATTTGGGTTTGTTCTGAATTTCTGATTTAGTTTTAATTCTAACTTTACTCATACGTATCAGGCTTGCAGGGCTTGCTTTTATGTTCTCAGCTAGCATATTGTTACAGATCCTGGTAGGTTTTATGAACCTATTTTAGGGTGATTGTTTTGGATACGTTTGTAGTTTGTGAGAGCGATGTGCTTTTAGATGTCTTTGGATGGTGCAACTTTCTTCTGTAAGCAGTTTGTTCAAGTCTTCATGCCTGTTTTAGTAATCAAGTTCTATCATGGGTCGAGGTTTTCTTTGATGATTTTTTTGTGCAATCTCACCCCTCAACCAGCAGTACAGCTAGTCTTGACCTTAAATCTTTGAAGTTTCTGAGAATCGCCTAATCTGTTGTGTTCATAGGATATAATTTTCTGATATCATGGCACTGTTGTCACTTTTAATTTTTTTGGCTAGAAGCCTTGCTTCTTTGCCATGTGGTTGGTCTCTTGAACAGAACATGTGGCTTAGTCACTGATAGTGCTGTCAGTCTGGCTCAGTAGCTGAGATTTTATACTCATTTTGCTGATTTCATGATACATAATTTGTTCAAAAAAAGAACCCTTCATGAGATGTATAAACTGTGAGAAAGATTGAGATCAAATCTCTCTCTCTCTCTCTCTCTCTCAACTTTCGGCATATCTAAATATTAAAAATTTAAAATTATCTTTTTCTTGGCCTATATCAATAGGAATTTAAAAATTATTTTAACAAGTTAAGAGCACTGGTTGCTCGATACAAACAAAAGAATACAACTCTGACTATAATTTTAATGAAAAACTAAAGAAAAATGATCTTAGCATATTCATTTTGTGAATGTGACGCTGGCTAGTCTGCTTAACTTTGTAATTGATATTCAGAATTCATCATGCATGAAATGGTTGAAATAGATGTTTCAATTTGCTTTCTAAAGTGTAGATCTGGTTACCATACCCCATCAATAGACCGAACCACTAAATGGTGCCTATTTATTGCTGTTGAGCAATTGAAGTTAGTGTTTTAGTCATATTTTCTCACAGATGAAACGGAAGGATCAATAGAAAGAGGGAATTCTGTTAGTATACCAATTATATTACAACTTTATAGAGTGCAAATTTTCAAAAGCATCAATTAGGTAAAGGAGAAATTTGCTTTTCACTTTGCAAACTTTTGATTAGACTCTTTTGCTAATGGATTTTGAAAGATTTATGTTCTATTTTAAATGGTTGATTTTTCTTCGCCTCTGTGCATTAGTGCGTAGTTGTGCAGTTGTAAACTTGTCCTTTCGCTTGTTGCAGTAAATTTTCTATTCTTCTTTACAGGCTTGTGCAATATACAGTAACTGGTGGCCATTGTTATCAGGTTGGTGGGTTAATGCCCTTTTTTCTTGTAATGCAAAGAGTAATAACATTTAGGAGGTGTAGTTATTGAACACTGTTACTTCTGACTTACTGACCAATCTTTGTTTTTTCAGCTCTTATGTATGTTCTAGTGCCCATGCCTTGTATGTTCTTTGGTGGTGGGACTACTCAGTTCTTAACTAGTCGTGATGGTGGAGGGTGAGTGACTTAAGGAAATGCAGTTAATTTTGTGTACTGTGTTTGCAAGTTTTGCATCAACTATATGTTTGGCAAAGGTTCACCACTTTTTTATGTGTAGCTTAGTTACTTTGCTGCTATCCTACATGGGGTGCTTTTTTATGTCTAATCACAAGGTCAAGGACATGCAGTTAATTGTGTATTGTGTTTGTAAGTTTTGCCCGAAGTATATATTTGGAAAAGGTTCACCACTTTTTTTATGTGTAGCTTGGTTAGTTTGCTGCTATCCTACATGGAATACTTTTTTATGTCAGTCACAAAGCTGAGGACGTGCAGTTAATTTTGTGTATTGTGTTTGCACGTTTTGCACCGAGTATATATTTGGAAAAGTTCACTACATTGTCTATCCAACTTAGGTACTTTGCTGCCATACTCATGGGATGCTTTTTTATGTCTAATCACAACTTGGTGGCCTTGTGACCTTTTCTTTTTTGTTTATTCCTAGTTTGCCGTCCAACTTGATTGCTTCACCCCGAAGCTTGATAGGAGTGGTCCATCAAGTCATTTAAAAATTTGTTTTGAGATTTTTCGTAGCCCTTAGAATGTTAAGTTGACATGCAAGAAACATTTTTGAGGCATTCTCTGTCACTCTTATTTGCCACAGATGTTTTCGAAAGAATTTGAATTTCTGAATATTCTTGGCCTGCCTTCTTGTTTGATTTTTGGTGTACGAGGTCTCATTCTTTTTCATATAACGGTTGCTGCTATCTGTTCCTTCTAGTAAGCATTCCCTTCCAAGTTCTTACTTTTAGAGCTTGCTGATATTCATTGCTTTAACATGTTTCTGTTCTGGAAACACCATCTCAGTATATGGTTATTTGGTTGCTCTTAAGAGGATGCTGCGCTGCATCTTCCCCTTTTCTTTCCTTCACTGATTTATTGTGGAGATATATTGATTTCTGTTGGTTTTGCTCCAGATTTCTGCTGTTTTTTTGCACTGTGTAACTCGGACTCTCTTCTTTTCTCATAGATGGATAGATGCTGCAAAGTTCTTAACAGGGGCATCAGCAGTGGGGAGCCTAGCCATTCCAATCATTCTCAGGCATGCGAATCTGATTGGAACCGGAGCTATGTTCATTGAATTTACTTCTTTCTTCATATTTGTGTGCACTGTTTTGTGTTTCCACCGTGCTAGTCTTGAAGATGAATGGTGATGGTAATGACGCAATAGTCTTGTAAGTTTGCATGTTGATCGCTTGCAGGTGCTCTAACAGACAAATGAAGAATAACATTCGGAATGAAGTGGAGAATGTTTTCCCATGTATATAGCTAGAACACAAGTTCTTTCCTGAATCTTCATAATTTATTAGGTTCCCTCTTCCACAAGTTGTGATATGAATTTTATAACGGGATTAGATATTATTGCTAAGAGATCAGTAAGACCTCTTACAAACAGGTGCAGACATAATCACATAAGAATTGTGTATTTGTTGCATGTACTGGAGATAGTAGTGTGGTTTGGTTCCCGTAGGAAAGGAAAGGAAAGGAAAGGAAAGGAAGGAATGAACCCCAAAAAAAAAAAGGGATAAAAAGGTCCGGTTGATTCCGTTCCTTTTTTCTTCTCAACTCCTTTATGCAAAATGGGTACACCTCAGTGATCCACGTGTTCCGTTGAATTCTTTTACAGCAGCTTCATCGGGTATGGAATGGAATGGAAGACCCGCATTCTCTCCCAAATGAAAAGTTATGCTCCTTCTGTGGTGACTGACCAGTCAACCAGAGATGGTTCATCCATCGTCAAGGTTTATTGTTTTATAGGACTCGTCATGTTCTGCAAGAGCAAACCTTGCTTTCAGGTTTACTTGGACTAACACAGAAGAATATTCGTCGCGGTTAGCAATTACTACAAATTTATGATCACATAATCTAATTTCCATTTTCCATGCAGCTGTTCAGTCTTTGGTAAACAATAATTCTTGGTCCGTTTGGACCGCAGATTACTTAAGAAAAATTATTTGAAATAATACTACAGCACTTTCTTTGATATGATATAATGTACGTGAGCGACTAAAAATTGCGTTTATATGATGCACGTAGAACAAAATTTTTTTTTTTTGGTAACACATTTTTGCTTGTTCCTCTCGGCAAGTATGCATACGCCGATTTACCAATATACCGTTGAAGGTCTTCTGTGTCGTGGTAACGTGGGTCGGTTGACCGCCAAAGGAAAAACCCTTTGTCTTAAACATCAAAGTTACTATTGTAAATTATTTGAAATATTTTTACTGTAGTACTTTTTGTGATGTGATATATGTGAGATAAAAAGGTGTATTAAAAATTGTATTGGTGATATAAACAAATATATTTAGACAAATAATCTTCTATCCAAACACACTCGTAATATTACGGAATACGATCGTTGGCTAAAGTTCCTTTCCGTTAGTTATGGCAAATAATTTACGTGAAGTTCCGCGTCTAGACACTGCCCAGTCTTTGACTGAAGGAGAAATTCACCTCAAAAAGACTTTAGATGAAATTTTATGGTTGTTTCCATCTGACGAGACGAGAGACTACGAGGACCGCGACATAAAATTCGCTCTAGGACTGAGCATGTGAAAGCACATGCCATTTTCCTGTCCAGTACTTGAAGAATACTGGAAAAGAAGACGAAACGAAAGCACCAAACTTCAAATCATTACGCACTGGCTTTTTAATTTTTATGGTACAGACACCTATAACCTAAAGTTTAACAATACTGGCACATGAAAATACCCAATGAAACACTTTTATGTTTATGTGACGACGCTCATGCATCTGCTGCTATAATTGTCTATAGTGCAAGGTTTCTCAACTGCATACTTGTACTCACTTCTACCCGTCTGTTCCTGCCAAATTTATGACACTTCAAAATACAAAAAAAAAAAAAAAAAAACTATGAATATGCATGTAGCCCTGTTTAGTGTTTACGCATCCCAAAAGGAAATAATAAACAGGCGATGGTTAATTAGGAAGAGATGAAATGCAAATATATGGAATTTTCCTCCTCTGATGACACTTTCACTGGTAGCCAGGCGTCAAAATAGACACCCCAACAAAGAAATTACATCCGTTTGGGGCGGTGTCGATAAAATTGCAGGTATCGAGCAATGTTTTTAAACCCGGACCGGAAAATGAATCGGAGAATCTTTCTATTCACGATTCCATCGGTTCAACTAGTTCGATTCCGGTTCAAAGGTTTAATAATTTTTTATTCATTCTAGTGTTAAAAAATTTGAATAAAACTAAAATATTTATTTTTAAAAATAAATACTTAATAAAAATCGATTGAACCTCCTGATTTGTACCAGTTTAATTGATTCTTTTGGTTTTTAATTGAACCAGATCGGAGGCATAGCCGGTTCGCGGTTCAACCGATCAAACCGGCTAGTTCGATCCGATTTTCAAAAACATTGGTACTGAGTTAGATTTAGAATGTGAAGGATGGAAAGCTTGCAATCCTCAGGCAATTTTCACTGTCAGTCCTAGCCTAGTATCACCTCAATTCTATATTTCCACATTGTTACTGATCTTTGCTTCCGTCTCTTGCTGAAAGGATTTAAAAACTAAATAAATAAAACATAAAGACTAGTAAAAAAAGGAATGAAGCTTCTGTCAGATGGTGAAGGTTGCATTGCGAAGGCAGCTTTCAGGCCGGATTATGATGCATGGATATCATATTACAGTGTCTGCTATGGTCCGCCACTAAATTGAAGTTGAGAAGAAGGCTAAAAACAAACGAGTGGAATATTATTGTAGTACATTGTTATTCAAGAAGATGACACGGGAAAGAAGTCAAGAACATACATGCACTACGTCAAGCAAGCAGTTCTTTACAAGTCTGCTTGTAAGTCTTGGCTAATTAGAGCCAAACACTCTTTTTAACTTCATCTTAGAAATAGACTGCGAGGGTGTTCATTAGTTGTCACTGAAAGTTCTTATTTTGGTATCTTTCCTAGCCAGGTGATTCTATCCTAAGATGTTCTAATTACGACTCTAATTGTAGTATTAATTACAACTAAAGAGTGTAGAAAGATTGAAAAGTTATCAGCTTAGGGTAATAAAACTCGTCTTACATATAAGAGGAACAAGAGCTTAGGACCATAATACATTATGGTTGGGGCGAAAAAAAAAAGTTGCTCTTTGATGACCATAGATGACAGCCGATGCATTAACTAGTGTTGTAGTTTTACAAGCTTTATGCAAAGACATTTATTCTTTCAACTCCTTAATTTGAACCGGTTAATAATAATTACCAGAAGTTGGGTTATGCTAGTGCAACTAGCTAGATTAAGGAAACCACACATGTCTGAAGATGGAAATCAATTTATTCCCTCTTCGTACCTGCAGTTACAATTGAAAACCCAAAATTCAGTAAATATGCTGCAAACTTGGCATCTCATTGTCTGTGCTTTTTTTTTTCCTCCTAAATTTGGAAATAGTTTTGTTTTTTTTTTTTTGAAATAATTGTCTATATGTAGTTCAACTTACAGCAGAAGTAAATTTCAGCCAATTGCGTGCGCTTTGATTCATGAACGTTAATAAGCCAAAAAATGAACATGTTTCTCTCGAAGGACCACTAATCACTAGTGTCTTGTAGGCCAAACTCCGTTGTATAGCATGTTGCACTCCCTTTCGGGAAGACTTTGCAGTTGACGAAGCAGCTATATTATATAATCACGGATAAGGTGAATTCGAAATTGGATTAATGAAAGTGATGGTAGACATCACTTTTGATTAGTGAAGAAATTTGTTGTGTTTTCATACTTCTATTATGGTATTGTCTACATCGTCTTAGTACCTACACTGTAGGATTGGCGCTACTAATTGCAGAGCTAGAAGTACCTTTCGATGGTATTACACCAAAAATTACGACACATGACAAGCAAGAAGTCTCGGCGTGCTAACATTACAATTAAGATGTCCAAGCTAGTGAATACTACTATTACTTTGGACTCTTGGCTCTGTTTGGCACCCTTATTTTTAAGAATGTTTGAATTATCAAAAAAAAAAAAAGAATGTTTGTGATAAACAAGTTTTTTTTTAACAATTTTGTCTGTAAAAATGCTTTTAAAATATTACAAAAATCTTAAAATGCACACTCTAAAATATCAAAAAACATAAGCTCATTTCTCTATTCTATCACCACTCTTTCTAATCATTTCCATCTCAATCCACTGTTGCCGCTGTCACCACCACCTCCTCCTCCTCTTTTTTCCCTATTCCTCCCTCTTTCTAGTTTCCCTCCTCCTCCTCTACTCTCCCACCTTCTCATCCTTCCCCTCTTCCCTATCACTCCTTCTCCCTTTCTCTCCCAATCCCGCTAGTCGCAATCGAGAGAAGAGAGAGGAGGCACAAGTTGAGAAGTATCATTTCAAAATGGTTTCACCTACGCCTGACAAATTGCCCAAGTTTGAGATGTGTGTCATTTCAAAATGGTTCCACTTTCATCTACACTCGACAAATTTCGAAATCCTAGTGTAAGAAAAAATCAACCACTTAATTCCAATGTAGTCAGCGAGTAAATCAAGCTAGTGACATATATACAAGCTGAAGCATGATATGATAATTCATTTTTTATTTAATAGTCATGGGGCGGAAATCACGGCCTGGTAACGGGATACTCTTCAAGCAAAAATCTACATGGAACTCGACGGGCTTTCATGTATATATATCTCAGGAAGCATTCACTCGTGAGAATTTATAGGAGAGAAAATTACATTTGACTAAGACTACATAGGACAAAAGTAGCTAATTATTTGAAGGGCACCAAACTTAATTAGGAAAAAGTTATTAATGAGCAAAGATCCAACCGCCCTAAGAGAGTTCAACAAACTGATTTTGGTGGCAGAAAATGAGTTAAAACCAATTGAGTTGTTCCCAATCCCACATGGGTTCGGGGTTAAAAGCCAAATCATGGCTCTCATTTTCCAGTCCCTGGGAGGAAGAAGCCAGAAAATTGTCCTCCCCGGAGCCGGAGGTTGAGCTTGCTATTTCTGCTGCTAGTGATGGTGGATGAGTTTGATGGGACGTAATGGTTGCTGGCTGGTCCTCCTGGTGATGAGGTTGACGATGATGAGACGATGTTTCTCCAGGTGGTGGTGGTGGGCGTCTGTCAAATGCCCGCAACGATTTTGATCCAATATATAGTCGGCACAAGCTCATCTCCTGCCGTAACTGCATGCATCTCATATGCAAAGTTAAAACTAACTAAGAACAAATTAATCAGATAAAGAAATAGTTCTTTAGATATCATCATACGTCTAGCCAGAGCTCCACATCCAAAAATTAAGCCCAAGTATGAAAAATGAAACAGCTTTTCTCTCTCAGCAAGGAAAAGCATTGTGTCTGAATTATGGGAAGTTATTGAAGGCTGAGTAGAGGGAGCTTTAAGACCATAAACCAGGTAAAGTTAGTTCTTGTTCATATTATGGATCTGGAAATGTGAATGTCAGTTCAAAATCTTACCACAACAGTATGTCAGATTG